CCCCCCCCCCCCCCCCCCCCCCCCCCTTCCTCCTTCGCCTGTAAACGGCTCTCTCTTGGGTGCCCCTGTAGTTATGTCTTGAGAAATCATGTCAGGTTCGCGTCGTCCAACATAGAGCTCAGAGCTTCTTCACTACATCCTGCTTAGCAGCACCCTTGGATCATGGCGACGCATAAGAATATGCATGGACTTGTTGCTCAGTAATTTTTGCTGGAACTGTCATGAAAGTTAAAAGCGGAGGAGCTCATTTACAAAATCTTTTCCGCATCCACAAATCCTGCTGCTAGTGCATGGAAGTCGTCTATGTCGTTGTAATTACGGTCTGATCCTAGCTGTACTCCATCACATGACGTCGCAGATGGTTGCCTCACGAAACTATTTCATGTGTCAGCTAATCTTTGGATGTGCTCGCGCATTCATCCCACAGCACCACGATAATTTCTGTTTTCGGATGAGCGAGATTTCCTGTGAAAGGGGAACTCGGAAAGATGGTGGACAACATCCATCGAATTCGAAATCCCGCAGTTCGGGGTCGATTCGACAGATCGGCTATCCGAACGTTGAGAGGTAGAGCACCCCGAGCTGGGATTCTCTCCGTGCCATTCACATCCACAGGGCAAGAGCGCATGCGATTCGCCGGATTTCGACAGGTCGAGATCCATTTCCGAGGGCCGACGGCGTGCCGCTGGTGAGCACGCATCGCGATGGCATCTTAACGTGAATTCTTTGGACGAATTCTTCACACTCTGCCGAAGAGTGTGACGCACGCAGACGAGAGTGATAAGTAGCCAAGCGGAATGTTGTTTATAATAGGGATTCGTGTGTTAGCCATAAAAAATATATATATCGGTCCCCCCCCCCCCACACGCGATGTGAAGTATCGGAATAAAGATAGAGATCCATTCTCATCGAGAAAAGGTGAGACTAAATAAGCTCTCAGGCGACTGGACGAAAGGCAAATGTGCCCGCATGATCATGGACAGTCAGCGAACTCTAAGAAACTGAGACCCCAATGCTGAAACATCTTGTACTGAAGTCTTTTGAAATTTAACGGACTGAAATTCAAGGATTCAGAATCTCCCTCTTTGAAATTGAATTTCGATTAACCGGTTTTTGGTTTTCGATTAGGTTTAGTGAAATCGTCTCGAAATTCTTCCATCGCATCGCTTCCCACTATGAAGATTCATCAGCCGATTTTACTGCCTCTGCTCCTATCATTTTCTTTACTTCTAAGGGGAAACAGAATCATCCAGACATCCCGGGGGAATGTAATTTTGTATTTTAGTTGAAGCATAGTAAAAATAAAGCAGTTAACATAACATAAAGCGTTATTCGGAACCTTCTTTAGGGAGGAGGCATTAGTTCTCTGACAATTTTTTGCACTTAAAAAGATTAATCCTGCATGGTCGCAAGCACTGTTTTCTTTCTTCCCGTTGAGCCGAGATGCCATCAGATAACTCGACGGCTCGCTCGTAAATTGCATTCCGGCAGAACGGTCGTTGATAGTGTATGCGGGAAGAGGATGGGAACGGGAAGTTGACTGATAAAGAAAGCGACCGGGAATTGACATCTATTCGAGTACTCCGAACCATCGTCCCGTTTCCTTTCCGATGACGGAATTATGCGAGCTGTCTGATGACACCAGCGGAAACCCACCAAAACATCCAAGTTTCCGGGCTCGCATTCAGATCTTCGGTTACTCATCCCCTTGCCGATACAAATGGAGCCTTCCAAATGCCTCTTACTTAAGCTGAGGCAAGCAGTAGCTGGGCGCCACTCTTCATCCTTCAGCAAACCGTCTACACACGAAGAATTGAACTGCGCGCGGTGAGATAAGTTGAGCCGTAGGAAGGAAAATGTTTGAGGTTCTGTCTCTCACTAGGGAGATTCCAAATCATCTGAAATTTCAGAAACCTCTTCGACATTTATGACTTTACATGCAATTGTTTAATTTCCTCATATGTAAGGAAAATAGATTTCACGACGTTGAAGGTTGGATTTGAACATACAAAGGTGTCCATAAAGTAACTATCCAAGGACAACTTTTTATTTATTGAATCTGAAGTAACCATTTATTTTGAGATGATGTAACAGCTTCCTCTATTCCACCTCCTCGCGACTAAGAATTCATGGACACCTTGAATGAAGAAATGCTAAGAGAGGTAGTGTGAGAACGGCCTTGGAAAGGATGTGGTGAGGCAGGAGCCTCCAAGCCACTCCCACTTTTCGCCCCCATGACCTCTGACGTAACTCAAGATCCAACAGTGACTGGAAGGTGCAAGGTCACCGCTGTCTTCCCTTCTCTCATCACGAAACGAGCCGTGAAATGACCAATTTCATCCCTCCCTTCCCTCGCTCCTCCCCCTTTTTTTTTTCTTTAAAGGAGAAGGTAGGTTACATCCCCATACGCATTTAGTCTTTATCTCACCAATCAGACATGAAATGTTTCATGCCGTGACCAAATCTAGCCGTTCTTCCTAGATGTTGCAAAACGCACAGCATTGAAGGACGGCAGATGAAATACGACCACACGGCCCTTCCAGTCTCTCTATTTAAAAAAAAAAATTGAACGATCCCCTGAACTTCTTGGATGGATATTGCTTTGTCTTCCCTTTTACAGCTCAGAATTCGTTGCTGCGATAACGGCGAATGGTCTTCTGAGTCATTTATTATATATGAGGACTCTAGCAGGAATCTCGACAGGAAGATGAAGGAAAAATTGTGGAGTCCGTCCAGTTCATCTCGCTCACTTATTCTTTAATGGCGTCATAATGGGCTATTTTTTGACCCAGTCAAAAGTTCATTCACCTCTGATTCGAAAGCAAAAAGTTCACACAAGTAGAACTCAATTCCAGATAGGAGCTGCCTCGGCACTTTTGGGATAATGACCTCTGACCACAATCTCAGTGAGATTTTCGGAGATTCCAGAGACGCTGAGTGAAGATACAGCAGTTTTGAGAATTTCTTTCTCTGAAGATCGTCTGGCAAACAAGCAACGCTGAGAAACTCAAATTGTAGCAGAGAAACATTATGACCATAGCCTATTTTAAGAATGAGATGATGACTTGACCGTTATACAAAACACTAAGGCACGCAAGCTTCTATTCTCAGAAAGCAGCTTATAGTAATCACTTTTGAGAGTGGAAAATCATGAACGGCTTTCACGACAGATTTCATGCATGCTTGCGTTCAGTGACTTGAGAATCCGACTATCAATCGCTGCCGGAGGACTCGGATCTTTTAAACGTGTTCCTTGTAGTCCCTGTCAGTTTTGTTTTGCCATTGAATTCTATCGGTCCGTCCACATTTGCCCTTGCTGGACATTCAAGCCTGAATGTCATCTTCCAATATCGATTAGATTTTCTAACTTTAGCCTTCCGATTCTCACTCCAGCGAAAACGCTTGCTCAGAGAGAACCAAGATGAAGGAAACGTGAGTACTCAGAGCAAAATAATGAAGACCTTGCTTGTATGAAATAGAAAAGCAGTAAGGGAGATGAAAACGAGCATATGAAATTGGGAAAAAAAAGTAAACAGCACCCCAAGGGAAAATAAGAAACTGGTGACGGATTTCATTTTCTGCCTCATGCTGAGGACAGCATAAAATTCCAATTACCATTAATTATTAGGGTGCTAATAGCAGTAATGCAAAGCAATCTTGTTGTTACTCTGAACATGATGCATTTCCAAAGTGCTTTGTGAAAGAAAATGCAGCTATATTTTACCTTGACTGGAAAGATAAATGTGCCCAATAAGAGAGTTTTCCAGACTCATGCTACCTTTGAGAAGTGCTAAAATTGAATGCATTTGCAATCCAATCAGTATTATTCACTAACTAAATCACACAGTTGATTCATTGAGAATCGTCAAGTTCATTGGGAATAAGTATTTGAATAAATCATAATTTGATAAACATGGATACTTCCAATCATTTGACAGGCATCATGATGTCACGATCTTTCAGCCCAAAATGGGAAATTTTCCATTGTTGTGCATTGGATCTCTACACTTGGGTGGCTGGGGAAACATAGAGATGCTTCTTGCCCCCTGCATTCTGTTGGAAACCTGGTCCACTGTGTGTCCTCTCTGGAAAAACGGAAGAAAAAAAAAGTTAGTCACAGGATTATAAACAGTTTATGTTTTAGGGATTTCATTTCTAAAATCTCCAAATAAATTATTCTACAAAAGCACAATAGCCCCAACAACGTCCTTCATTCTCATAGCATGCATCACACTTTCAGGGAAGGAAGCCCCTCCACTTCTTTAGGTTGTACTTGGTCACAGAAAAAAAAAACGCTGAAGGACAGCCTGTGGTTAACCAGTGGGCAATGCAGAGTGGAATGGAGCTTTCACAAGCTTTTATGCCTGTAATCCTAATGGTCTACAGGGTAATTTCATTTCCTTCAGCACATCCTGGAGGGAAAATCTTTATTCCCAAAGGAGGCAAAATCTTTGTTCTGAAAATTGAATGTTATTCAATTTTTTTTGAATAGGTGTGGACCATACTTATCATTTGTTGACTCCCATATGGCTTATCATCTTATTGGAGTCGTATCTCAAACCACCGACCTATCTTGTTTGAGAACCATGCAGATTTCCATACATGTGTTGCCAAGGCAATAGAGATATCCTTTTTTCTTATCTTACTCAATGAAAGGAATCTCAGGTTTTTAGAACAACCACATACACAAGATAGCAAGGCAGGGAGACCTGACCAAGCAAGTTTGATCATCCACTTCTGCTATCAGTTCCTCCAATCCTATGGTAACACAAATTGATATGGCACGAGGATTTAAGTCAATGAGAGTTTAAAATAAGGAATTACAACATTGATCAGTTTTTCAGCTCACCTCGATACTTTACAAGAACCGGCTGAGTGAAATCTCGAGAGAAGCTTGGTTCGGCATAACTGAGAGGACGGAGTTCATAACGATGAGTCCTCTTGTGCAGGACAGGCGGGTGAGATGAGGAGAAGGGTCCAGAACGACCACATGCATGATTCCCATTGGCCTGGCCTGAATCTGAAATAAAAGGGAATGGCATTTATTCATACAAAAAATGCCTGAGTGAAACTATATATTCCTGCACTCTGCCTTCCTCATGTTAAAGCTGAATGCAAGATAGGTGTAGGAACTATGTCACACAAGAGAGAAGATGAGAAGGCCCTTGTAATCAGAACCATGTAATCCTCATGTAGTCATCTCTATGTAAGCAGCTTCCCATTTTCACTGTAATATATCATTCCAATAAAAACCTTAGCAGTGGAGGCAAGAAAAGGAGAAGGTGTTTGCCCTCACAGATCCTAAGTCCCAAAGCTGTCAGGCCTTTCTTAGCTCCTGTCTCATACAATCCTTGACCCATAATGACCTTGTCTCATTCCCCTTCTTACTAGGACACAAAGTCAACATATAAGGAGGGCCATATGTAGCTCTGCCTTGATTGGGGCTTAGGGTTCCAGGTAATTTTATCTTTCCAGTTGAGATACCATGTCACTCAGTTTTTTTAAATGCTACATTAATTGTGACTTTCGCAGTGAACATCATAAACAAAGTTCTAATTCCCCATATTCATTGTTACAGCTACATCGATGATGAATTACACTCTAGAACTACTTGAGTATTTGTTATGAAATTTCCCATTCATCATAAACTGATCAATAATGAGAAATCAACTCTGCCTATAATAACTTTACCCTTAACGTATTAAATTAACGTATTAAAGTGAAACTCTTATATTTACCCAGCTGTAATATCAGGGCAATAACTATGGCAAATTTAATCATTCAAGCTTTCACAATATACACAATGTTTTCAGGACATATATGATGCATCTCTATCCATCAAAATACCAAAATGGATGAAGAAATACTTCATGCTTTCACTTAGATGCAAACATAGATGTTTGTCATCAAGGAAGAAACAGGTATTCATATGCAAGGAATTCCCTCATATAACAAATCACATGGAAAAAATTATCTTCCTACATGAATTAGACAAAATGAACCAGGACGTCACCCATGTCTGTTGGATTTTCAGTTTCTGGCATGGAGAAAAGATATAAGTAATAAAAAGGCAATTTCATAGTATTTCATTACTGCCATTTACCTAGATGCAATAATTACAAAATATTGCCATTGAAAGGGTTATTTTGTATTATGATTATTATTATAGCAGGCACTATCATGCCTCAAATTTGGCACTAATGTACCTCATAGGGTTCTTCCCTCTGAAAATGTTATATGGTCTCTGCTACAGATATGGTAGATATCAGTATCTACTCACCAGAGCCTGACAGAGATCCACAACCAGAATCGTGAGAAGAGCTTCCAACAGATCCTGAACCCCCGGATGAGGAGGATGCAGGTGATGAGCAAGGAGATGTGGAGGAAGGCTCCCTGGATTCAGTCTCCCGATCTCGGTCTCGATCTTTCTTCCATCCCCAACTGTCCAGGTACCGGCTCAGGTTCACATCTGGCAACACTGCCCAAAGAAAAAGTATTATTTGATTCCACATCACCTCAGGAGTTCAGGCCACATTGAAAGCTCACTGTAGTCAATTAATCATAATATACCTAGAGACATTGAGGAGGACTATACAATCCTGTCCCATGTTGTGCTATGGGGAACTGTATTAGAGCAGACTGTCCACAACAATTGAAATAAAAAGAATTCTAATATCTCTCCCATGGAAGACAATGCAAAAAATTTCCATGGAGTTTCATTGACCCAGATTATTCTTTAATAAGCATAACTTTGCTGATATTGCCATTGTGGCATGTGTCACAATAAAGTGTAAACGTGATAAAACAGTGAGGGTCTTTCCACATGCCCCATGTGTGGTGAGTAGATGCAAATAATCAATTAGTGAAAAGAGGGTATGGATGTGAATTCAAAAAGTACTTGCTCATCTCTGATAACTGTTTATTAAATTTTAAAATTTCACTTTCCCAAAAAAAGGGCAAAAATCAAATATGCACTTAAAATTGCATAATATAATAATGGAAATGGACTTACGTGAAAACCTTTGGTACTTCTTATCAATCTTTCCATTCATCCAAATGCGAGCATTGGGAGAGGAAGATTGTTCTAACACCTGTCGTTTTCCTTCTGAATCCACACAGTCGGTCCCATGAGTAGATATACGTTGTACCTCATTTGTTCTCAAGGCAGAGCTTCCAGAAGATTCATGTAAGTCTACAAAAAAGAACAGGGTTGCAATTAGATGATTGCAACATAATGCTCAGTCGTACTTGCAACTTCTGCAGTATCATTGAGATATCACAAAGTAATAAATTAGATATGAGTCAGGCATTTGCAATGGCTTTGGCAAAATGAGGCTTTCTCATCTATTCAGAGCCTTCAGTCTCATTCTGTTCATCTCAACCAGGTTCTGTTAAAGTGTATGTACTATCCCAAAATTTCATTGTATAGAGAGCAATTACTTCAGGTAACTCACCATTTCGATCCATGAGAATTCTTCGCAGAAGTAGGTTGGGGTCAAGAACTTGGGAGCATCTATTACTCCTCAGTGCCTGACGCCTGGATTTGCTGTTGGCAACAGCTTCATCAAGGGACTTTTTCCACTCATGAAGGGATGATAAATTTGTGTCTCGAAGAACTATCCGCCCCTCATTTCTGATGCCTAACACCAATGTATTGTTGGAACAATCCACACTTCCCACTGCTTCTATATCCACAAGACTGAGCTGCAAGACAAATGTAGGGTTTGTTTGGCACCTTTCTGTCATGTCAAATGGATTTGCTCTTAGAAGGGTGCATTCCATTTGGAGAAGCTGAAGTCATGCATGATGGTGAACATAGAAGTCTCATGGTTGGTTTATAAAACACCTCGGGGCTTACTTCTCTCAACAAATATGAAACACCCAAAACATAACTACTCATTTCATGAGAAGATTTCTCACCACACATGTAGGATTTCAGTCATTCTTCAAGAGTGACCCATTAACATATCAGCCAGAGCTTAAAACCTACTTTGAACTGGAAGGCACCCATGTCAGAACCAGTGTGTTTCTTCCTCTTGAAGCAAGCCAAGTAGTCTGGCACCAGAATGAAGAACCTCTCCTGCCACCTTGAAGCATGAATAGATAAGAATGAAACTGATATGAAACATGTAGTTCTGGGCAAATGATATACCAATAATACTGGAATTGAAAAGTCCTGCAATGTTTTTCAGCTGAAACTAGGGCTGCCACCAGTCCCATATATCATGGGACATTCCCATAGCAATTCTCAGGACCATACTGCAGGATGAGGGAAAAGTGGCAGCCCTAGCAGAATCTCCCACATCAGCTGCAATATGAAAGATCTTTTTGTGGTAAGAAAGTGCATTTGTGTATGTGGTTGGAGATACTCCATTAAGCAAAAACAACTATACTATATGCTGGGAATCCATATCTCCCAGTTTTTTTCAAGTGAGAAGAATCTGATGGCTATAATAGGGAAGAAAAGTTGAACTACTCAAACAATGTACCAAAATATGAACAGAGCAATCCAAAATTAAACTAATATAAAAATCAAATATGATCTTCAAGGAAATTTCTTCAGAAATTAAGCCCAATTTCATGCAGTAGAAACAGCTTTGCTCAGATGAAACAATTGTACATATAATCTTTAGCATTAAGTGTGTTCTTTTAAAGTATTTGCATTCACAAATGAGAAATTCCTTTAAAATAGTGTTTGTAGGGGTTACACACCTTGGACTTATTTCCCATAAAAACACTAATCTTCCCAAATGTCTGTCTCCCTACTCTTCTCCTTGTCAGCTGTTTAATCAAAACTTCAAAGAGAAAGTCCATGTTAAGTTGGTCATGAAATTTCTCTTTCTTTCATTATTCTTGTAGTCCCATTATGACCAGGAGGCCAAATCTTGACGTGAAGTCAAGCAGATTATCTGGAAGCGTTCCTTCTAGCATGGGAAACATGCCATTCCAATAGAAGCTTAACAATGGCCATGTCGTGCATGAATATTCATTAAAAAGAGACCTTTGTTGTTGGTTCAATTATGCCAACTAATTAGTGAGGGAAGACTGCTTCTATAGATCCTGTCATGAAAGGGCTAACATATACTGCACGCCCATGAGTAGCCCAATCGTGTCAACACCTGGACGAGGTCCTCTTCGTGACGAAAACGCGAACTTCTAAGCTAATTGCTGAGGCAGGGCAAACGCTATACAAAATAGGCAAACTTATGAATGCATACCTGGACATCAGACGATCTCTCTGCATCGAAAGAACTCCTTTTCTCATGACAGATCCAGGCTGTACCACTGTGATGAGCTGTTCATGCTTCTCTCCATTTCTTGCCATCAGCTGCAAGAGAAACATCACATCGAGTTTACACACCGTCAGGAACCCCACTGGTGCTACATCCGATTTTTTGTATTTTCGTTTAAAAATTTGAACTCATGATCAAGGAATAAACCATTGGAGATAGATAATGCACGGCTAAAAAGTTGGATTAAATTTTGAAATATCCGGGCCCTGTCAGTAGGTCGAAGCGTAGTTCGGAAACCACAAGTATAGAACATCCATCCCTTTGTCATGATGGAGGAACTGAATTCGAGGATCTTAACTGGTTTGCTATTCCTTGTGAATACAACCTGGCACAGCTTAACACAGAGAGGACGCTAATAGATACACCATGGATCCATCCGGATGTCCATAGCCCTTGACCGAGTCATGTGGCAAAACATGAGCTTCCTGTGCCAGCTTATTTTAAGTATGCTTGCTTTAGTTGTAGCACTCTTTCACAGTACAGCAGATGGGTGGTATTTTAGACTTACCCTACGGCCTGCAATGGGCCATTCTTTTGAAAGGACGGGGAGTACAGGGCAGAAATACTGACGTCTATAAAGCTCGCGAATTAGACACGATAATAAGTTAGTAATTATTAGGACTATGGCTGTTCTAAAAACATTGATCGCATTGACCATAACTATCGATTAGGACTGTACTGGTGGCCATATTTTGCTGATGGTCCGCTAGCCGATTATAATTTCATACCCATCGGCTGGGGTGCCGATACCGATGGTGACAAGTATATGAAAAGCGAAGAACAGTAATATCAAATACCGATTCAGATACACCTATTAGGAAGCCATGTTCTACTTTTTTATTTGGGGGGGGGGGGGGGCGCTATCAAAGCGGCTGTTTGAAAACATCGATGCATCGACTTTAACGATCAATCCATCGATTCATCACGGGGGGAAGGGGTACCGGCGGATTCAGTCATCTCTCGTCGCGGTCAGGAGTAGGTTTGACCCATTGCTACCTGTCTCGATCGGAGCGCAGACCTCTTCCCACCTTCTGTCACCTCTCGTCCGTAATCAGGGTAGGGGAGGGGGTGACCTTCACGATGGGTAATGATGTCATCGATTCGTCGTGACAGCCCTACTTTTTTTCTACTGCTGTTGAGGATCATTTACCAAGAGGCGTTCATGCGGTTTTTTCTTTCTTCATTCCCTCATTCGGCACGTCCTTCTTAGGGCATCGGCATCCGACAGCTGGCAAACCTGCCAATGGCGCCATACTGGCGGCCGATACTGGTGGTTGACGATGCATCGGTACAGCTCCACTATTGATGTATCGGAGGGAATTATTTACCAACCCCAAAAGCCATGGAGGGGACTGCCGTCCGATTCCACAGTCTGTTGCGATCACAGATTAGGGAAGAGGGGGGGGGGGAGGGCGCCTTTTGTCATCCCTCGCCGCGATCTAGAGGTCTGCCATCCTTTGTTTTTCGCCATGATGGAAGGGGGATGAGCTAGAGTAAGGGCATGCACCGTGGAGACGGCTCATAAAGTCGTCTAATCCTCCAACTATTGACAGTGACATGGATACATCGATGCATTGTGACAATCCTAGTGATCATTAATACTTCGCGGTACTTTCAATGATGCGATCGACCAAGCCCAGCTCGAGACCCAAACGCCCAAGGCGAGGCGTGGCTCGAGCCACAGCCGAGAGGTACCAATAAACCACAGCCCACCAACAACCAAGTGCGTCATTAACCGTGACGAAGCCAGCTGGTAAGCAGGCAAGTACGTAAGCTGGGTCGCGTGTGCAGCCTTCACGCCTAGACGCATGACCTCGCGCCGCTATGTCACTTTCATACCTAGGGTGATTCCGGGCTATGCAATGGGCTGCCATCAAAGAGCATTCTAATGAGAAACTTATAACTGCATCGTAAGCTTGAATTTTTGGCATCAGACATAGGTCATAGAAAATGGGAAAACAGGAAGCTCTGACAAGTAATGAATTTACTAATGATGCCCAACGACCCTCATGGGATGCGGAAGAGAGATATTACAGTCATCATTATCTCTCAGGACATCCGTCACGGATATTCAATACGCACGAATACTGTGACCCGAAGCCAAGATAGTGTATTGCGCTATTCCGGTCATGTTACGATAACTCCGACTGACGCATACCAATGCATGGGCCTACCTTTTCTCTCAAAGAGCCCGTGGGATTTTCCGTGTTTTTCTTCTTACGCCCCGATAAACGAAGGCTTCTCCTCAGCTCTCCCAATCGATTCATCATCACGTCACCGCACAAATAACGTCAGTACCAACAGGATCCACGAAACGACAAAGTTGTGATTTCGACAAAGGGGGAAAGCGACCTAGGGAACGGCACGAGACACCTTGCCCCCAGACACTTCCGCAAGGGCTAGCCGACTCGACGCGATAAACACGAAGTGGTCTGACCGGAGGGGGCGGCAAGCTGCGACTGCATGAACATGCACGATCCCGTTCCACTCCCGTCGGTTTTATCACCTGGTGCACCAGTGACTCATCACTTTAGAGGTGTACACGGGATATGAACTCCGCCGTCCCACTTGCATGACTCAAACCTCAGGCAATGAAGTGATTAGCCGTGAAAGTAGGAGAGGTCACCTTGATGAAGGAAAGGAAACTGATTGGGAGGAGTCACGAGAACCGAGAATCACGCCGTTCGATCGTGAGCCTGTCAATGGAGCGAAAATGGCTTTCCACATGAGATGGAATCTTTTGGGATATACATCATGGACAGGATAAAGCAGAACAAAAGTGGGGCAACCTTTCCGTGGGTAATAGCGGGGAAACTCTGCCTCATGAATACTAAAGTCAACAGTAATAATACGGGCGACTCCTTCCAAGCATTCCAGGTAGAGGACAAAATGAACCCAGACATAATGAACTCTCATTTTTTTGAGAAATTGCTGTATCGGTATAATTGTATTTGGCGAGGAATAAGGACCATGAGTTCACATAGAGTAATAAAGGAATGAAGAGGGTGAAATCTTGCTCGGCATCCAATCAGCTCTAATAAGAGCTCCTGTGACATAACTTACAGGCGAGGGCTCTAAAAAGTCCCTGGGAAAAGCAGGGGACCGCAAAGGTAGATGAGAGGCTGGGCTCGGGCAGATCCCGACAGCAAACCGGTTTGGATTCCCGTGAGAAAGTGAACAATTAAATCTTCCTACCTCTTATCGAATAAATCACGGATAAAGAGACGAAAAGAAACAGAAGCCTGTGCTGCATGCAAATTTCAACAATACCGAGAATGGTAGGCGTCATGAACGGTTCACTGCCTCATCTGAACACGGTTTCGGGTCGTTTGATCCAATCTGCGGCGAGGGTACTGAACTGTGTCAGCTGTCCTCTCTTCATGGCAGACACAACGTTCTCTAAGTGAGACGTCCCACAAAGGGGATGGGATTTCGAATCCGGAAAGCACAAACAGAAACGAAAAGCAAACGAATGTTTGCTGGATTAATGAAAAGCAAACGAATGTCTGATGGAATCGGACAGTTTTCACATTGGGCGCGTTGCTATTGAAGTTATGTCATGCTGTGACTGATGAAGGTTTTCAACATATGCTGCCACGCCCGTCGGATCACTGAATGTGGGGGGGCTTTGAGGGGAAAGCAAGTAGCTGCCTTGAACTCAAATAGTAGCAGGGCAAACTGAATTTCACCATTGATGCGTACGAGGTCTCTAACCCCTCAGGACCTGGAAGATTCACAGCTTCGGAATCGAACCAGTATACTAATTTCTTGAATTTATCGATATTAAAAAAATCTCCTTTAAAGGCCGTATCAGGAGATAAGTTAGCCATGGGAATCTGGGAATCTCCGCTCTAAACTCCGATTCGCATCAGGCTCTGATCAAAATCACCAAACTGAATGAAACCACTTCCCATAAAACGGGTTTCCGATAGTATCGAAAGACGAGTAGGTCTATGAAGCCTCTCCTCTTTCAGGCCATTCATCTCGTGGATTGTATCGTGCGATTCCCCGGCCCCACATTTACCTGAGTCAACCCCCCCCCCCCCCGCCCCTCCCTAAAAACAAGGAAGTACGGAAGTACGATGACAACTACTACTATAAGTCTGATCTGGGCATCTACGAGACCAGAGCACCTCTGTCTACTACCTCCCCGGATTGGGAAACTACAAAATACAAGAAAAAAAAAATATTTTTCGGCACCTCGCCCCAAGTACGTGATCGCATCCCGACACTCGAGTCCCGCAAATTGAATTGAAATTGAAGAACAAATTGAAGAACGACATATTCGCGCCTACCTCATAAAGAAGCACTGCATCACACTTCATTCCCCCCTTTTTTTATTATTTAGAACAGGGCAGACGAACGTAAGATGAACTGGAAATTGTTCACTTTTTAAAAGATCCTAAAGCCTAATGCAAAAAACTACTAGATCGATTCAACGAGTGAAGTATGAAAAACTCGTCTCGCCTGGGGGAGCGGAGGGTTTCTCAACTATATTCGACTCCTAGTCGCTAAACTGAAACGTTTTTCCCACGATGAAAAAACATGCTTCCTCAAGAAGGATGTTTTCGGAGAGAAGAATGCTTTCTTTCTTAGGCTTGAAGTGACTTAAATGAAGTAGGCAAGAAATTATGCCTATTTTTAAGATACCTAGGAGCAAGCAGACCAGTTGAAGGTACTGAGAAGTATCCAGTTGAAAGACTCCGCAGCCCCAGCAAGAATACCCTAAAATAGACTCGCTGTGCATTTCATGTATGGCACTGCGAATGGCAATGTGGCATAATTAACAAAAAGAAGGAACTAGACGACAAAACCCTACCGTACACAACAAAGCGAGAATCGTCGCTTTACGCTCCGAAATAAAACAAATTTTGAGGGTCTACTAAGAGTCCCTTGTAAAGGCATAAATCATCTGTAGATAGTCACTCAGTACCATTTAAGAGGTACCAGTAGGTGATTGATAAACCACTGCCTCGGACTTGGACCAGTTTGCTCAGATATCATCACCAAGTAGTACTAGGGAAATACGGCATAATTAATCCAGAGATCAATAACTCGAGGGTGAGTGACCCTCCCAATGTCATTGGACGAACACCACGTACACCGAATGATAAGATCTTGTCAGGAATATACCCTACTAAAAATGCTCATCTTCTGCCACAGAAGTCGAAGTTAGAAGAATGAAAAATTTTAACTGAACTTTTTCGTGCGTTGAATGTCTGCGTAACTATACGATCTGGCACAGACACCCCTGAAACGCATAACGTTGAATCAACATTGAATGAACGTTCGGGACGTTGTAACAACGTTAGTTCAACGTAGCCCTGTTTGCTGGGACGGCTGCAGCCTTTTGGTCGGGACAGCAACAAGTTCTGGGCTAACCCCAATGCAAGATCATACGCGACGGAGGAAGCAGTTCCCTGTCGCACACAAAGGTCTGGTCCGAGCGCGAGAAGTAACTGCTTGCCTGAGACTACTATGTAAGTGAGACAATGTTAATTTTTTCCTTGCTTCTTTCGAAGGAATGCGTAAATTAAAATATACAGTAATCTTCTTTTGGGGCGATTATATGCAGTAGACCCGTTAAAACCTTTACATTGTTCCTTGATCCGTTCTTTGCCTTTAGGGTGTTTGCCTTCCCGAACTAGATAGAAATCTCCAATACGAGTGTTTTTCTCCACACGAAGTACAGGACCACACACATTGAGGTCCCCATGACTATCAGATTCAGGGACGTTCTAACACGAAAATGTGTCAGGACAACTCTGCCTACCCTCTGCCTTGACTAACCGTCTAGCCTCAGGATAGGAGGGACTAACGCTTCTGCTTCGTCTCGACTGTGCGCGACATCTAGCGAGACAACAGCGGATTCCCAGTTTCCCGGACCCTACGCGTCGAACCGCCACAGGTTAGATATGGAAAAAGGAGAGACCACTCCCATGCTGCGTAGGACGCAGTAAAAGAAAGAGGCATTTCGCCAAGTCGTTATGTCCCAAATCTTGAGACTTCCTGATGAAACAATACAAAGCATAAGTAAATTGAAAAGCAGGTCGCCCATAGATTTCTTTACCAACTTTACCACGATATTTTCTGAACTGCACAGATGTACATAAGTTTTTCTAAAAGCCATAACACTAATTTATAAACACCTTCGAATGGAAACTTGATTCTAAAAGTGTGTGAGCTCTACGTGGCTTCGATCCAGAACAGGAAATCAGACTCCCAGCTGTTTGATTCTAGCTTGCCAAAAGAGCATGTGAAACCCCAAAGAAGCATTTTCAGAAGAAGAAACAAAGAGGGCGAGTTCCCCCCCCCCCCCCTAATATCTGTGGGTTGTGACCCGACATCGCTGCTTCCTCTCAAATGAACCCAGCCGATCATCATTAGTCGGACGTATAATGACAGTTTTATGCAGGAATCAGCGGGTGTTTCCGCAGAAGAGGCAGGTCGTGGGCGATAAGCTCAGACCAATGAACCTGGAAAAAATTAATAATTCAGGGCCGGAGCTCCTTAATGATAGGGGATTCTTCTGATCGTCCCCCCCGGAGGACCGACGGCGGCACAGATGCACACATGCCTCCTCACGCACAAAGGCCAAAAGAGGGAGAGGAAAAGAGACACAACGATGAAACTCGATCTTGTAGCTGCCTCTCAAAAACGTGCATGTGTGTGCACAGCACGCTAATGCGCGTCATGACGTCATGTCTCCGTTTGCACTTCCGATACCTCCTTTCCTCCTCAAGTGTTTGGCGTCTCCGTTGCTGAGTCATTTCCTTTTTGGCCTCCCGGGCCGGGGCTTATCCATCCGGGAGGATCCCATGAACATTACAGGATAGGAAAAATGAGGATAGGAAGCCGGACTCTGTGGCCTGATTCTCACGAGACCAGCCTCACACTGTCAACGGAAGAATAAGTATTACATGATGTACACGTACGTGAAAATTGCCCTTTTTCTTTGTGATCTCTCATCCGTAACCGGTTCAAGATTCAAGACCATCAACCCCAGGAGGCCAGTCATTTTCACAGCAAGGACATGCGTCGTTCTTGCCATTCGATTTGACATGCCCAAAAAAAATGCAAAACCACATGCAGCGTGCAAATGTTCTTTTCGAGACGAGAGCTAATTTCGTTGCAATTCACAAGGCTGTTTTCGCTATCACTCCCCCTCAGACGTGAGCACAGATACGGACACACTCGATTTCCAATGCAGAATTGCGAAGCGGTATGCCATTAAGAAAGAGCGCATGAGTGGCACGTCTCTCAGAGGGAGTCCTGGCCCTAGGCCAGGAAAGGAAAAAAAAAATTTCTGGGAAGCTGCAAGAGTCCTGCGAAGGCGCAACTTTCCATTTTATTTTCGTACACACAAGACAGCACTTGAAAGGGGGAAGCGTAGGAGGCGCCGCACCGAAATATGAAAGCCCCCCCAACGATTTTCAACCCAGCGTTCGTCAGGCCACCTCGGGGAGCGACACCACGAAGAAACTCCTCCGTCGATCGCTGCCTCCGCAGCGTACGAGATGAAGAAATCGCACTCACCTCAGCTTCCTTGTCCATCGGCCGAGACGTCGGAGAGGCGCTGGCGAGGTCAGGCACCGAAGGATACATATACATGACGCTGGTATACCTGCACAAGGACAAGAATGCACTTGAACAGGAGATTTTTCTCAGTAGGCCTATTTGCAATCCAATCGATGTTTCAGTAGCAGTTGTACACGATTGTTAATGACATGGCACAATGCAGAGGGCCACTTCATTCGCGCGTCATGTTCTCTCGGCCTGGAATGCTTCCATTATGATGCAAACTAAATATTTTTTATGAAAAAAAAGGTTCAGGTACATCCGACTCCCACGAAACCCTTTTGGCATTGCGTCACAGAGAAGGGGTATCCACGAAAGACACTATCTCGTTTCATCTGGTCTTCCTTGGAGCTTGAAAAGCACCCATAAATGCGTTTCGGATGGAAAATCTAACACAGCCCCACGCATAGACAATGGGAAGTAAAAGATGATAAAATGCCATATAATAGGGTTGGCGTAATTCCGGGTTGTGATGTGCGCAGCGAGCCTTGCATCCTCGACGGGCCTCAACTCCACACGTGGCGGAGACGACATTATGAATTACAGCATCCCTCTCTCTCTTTCCTCCCCCCATGCTGCAGCTGACGTCAGATGCGGGTTCTGCGCTCTTTCCAAATGACACCCGTCATCCGAATCCTTCCTTGGAACCCGTTCATGAACATCTTGGATCACGCCATGCTCTGTAACTCAACTCTTCCGTACGGGGTACGTAGATCGAGATAACAATACTGAGAGACTATAGTCATGGCGGGTATCGCTTTCCCCCTGACGTGCTTTATACTCAGGCCAGCGATTCTTATATCCTTACACGTCCAACGAGGACAACATTTTCTACGCCGTACACAACTGGTTGATCGACAATCACGCCACAAAGGCCCAGGGTTTTTTTTATGTTCATCGACATTCCAGCCGCTGAATGGCGCCAAATAGGGCCTCAGATGTCTTTACGCTGCATTGTTCCTCTTTGCAGGGAGAATGGTTCCAGGTCACTTCTTTGAAAGACTTCTACGCCACTTCTTCGACTGGATGTTTTGACGAAAGCCTTTCAAAGCGTCCAGTCGAAGAAGTGACGTAGAAGTGTCCGTCGCAGAAGTGTCTTTCGAAGAAGTGACCTGGAACCGGGAGAATAAGGATCAATATCGTGATGCGGGCGCGAGGGCTGGGCATCTTGATATTTCCTCCTAAATCCAATCAGAAGTAATACAGATGAGCAACTGTCCTAGTTCATTCAGGCACAATCAGAATGGACGAGGAAATAAAAGGCTGTGCTCCGCAGGACCATATGTTGCGAAAGCCAAGCAAGTCCTATTCTGCCATACTGTAACGCCTCACTTAACACACTTTTAATCCTTAGCAGACCTTAAAACTTACTCCAAGAATATACGTGCGACTCAGTTGCCCAATATGGGCATAAAGTGAGTTCTTCTGGAGTACATGCAATCACCTGCATATGCAGCGCGGCAACAACTCGGCCTGACTGCTGCGAGTTTCCATTGATTCAATGTTCAAAGAAGCCAAGCTTCACAATTATTTCTCGCCAACACAACGGCCAAAAGCGAAGTGAAATATTGATAATTCCAGGTGGAGTTTTACAGGTGCACACGGAGCACAGCATCTAGAGCATCCCTCTAGGAAAGGTAATACTTGGAAATTTATATATGCCTATTCATCAAGTTGGACGCCGCACGTAGAGACCCTCAAAAATATAGCTAGAATATTATGAAATATGTGATGCCTCATCTAGGAAGATGGTTTGGACAAGCAGGGCGTATCAGAAACCCGATCTGATCTCAGGATGTGATTTATTGCCTTTCCATATCAGGGAGGTAGAATTTTTTTTGCCTTCTTTCTGCGTGAAATTCCCCTATTGCACTAATTGGATTGGATCCTCTAAGGAGAAAGGAAAAAAACGAATAGATCGTCTAATCCGTCCTTTCCCGTCCGATATATTTTCCTCATTGGATTCGATCTAAGGCTAGATAAGCAAGATATATCTTGGGTACCAGGGTTTGAAAGGAAATTCCGAGCGCCATTTATCGGCTTGATCTACGAGGTGCATTCAAAAAGCACTGATCAAAATTCATAAATTCTAATTTCAATGCAAAGAAACAAACAATTCAACGGTTCTCACTTCTCAACATTATCTCATTTCATCACACGCTTCTCCATCACTTCAGCTGTCTTGAAAGACTCCTGAAAAGAACTCTCTGGGGGAATGCATAATCCACTGGCAAACGGCTGATCCCAGGGTTGAACGACTTGCACATTTTGAGTCATGAAGCCGATCGCTGAGCCTGGGGTACAAGCAAAAGTCGCTGTGGGCTAGATTTGAGGAATATGGGGCATGGGGCAACAATTCCATTTCCCTTTCCTCCAACAACTAGTAAGCAATGACTGTGCGATGAGGGGGGAAGGGTGCATTGTCGTCGCGCAGGATTCAAGAGTTGACTGCCCACTTTCGTCACTCTCTTGCAACGGCTGGTAGGAGCCTCTTGCCAAGGAAAGCCTTCTCAGTGACAGTTGTTCCTTTTGTTAGGGCATGGGAGACAAGAATACCTTTACACCGCGTACAAGGTCTCGTCTACTGATCGGGTCGGCTTGAATTTTCTTGGAAGCTTTGGCGCTTCGATTGACCCGACTGGCGTTTAAACTCAGAGTTGTGGAAAGGTTCCCAGGGTTCATCCATCGTGACAATCCTATTCCGGAACGAATCATCTCCTCGACGGAAACGATGCAGAAACTGTCGACAGACAGCTTTCTGCGCCACTCGCACAGCCATCTGGTCTGCTGCGAGTTGCCTCGGAATCTATCGGGATGAAACTTTCCTCATGTGGCGCTTCTCGGTCGAAATAGCGCCAGCAGATCCTACAGAAACGCCGCAACGTTCGGCTATTTCCTCCATCTATTGACGCCTGTATTCCATGACGATGCTACCCATGAGATCGCTCTTTTTTTCCTTCAAATGTTGCTGTCAGCAGCCGTCCACAGGTTGGTTCATCTTCAACGAGTACTCTGCCATCTTTGAAAGCATTCACCCATATACTTGGTCGGTTCTGATAACCAAGTAATCCCCAGAAACTTCAACAAATTGCGTAACGTCAAAAAGGATAGATACAGTCATAGCAATAACGCTTTTGTCAAACTTGCTGCATCCAACACTCATTGATCCAGCCAGGGAGAGAGCAACCTTCACTGGCGCCTTCCAGTTGAGGATTTCCTACTCTTGTCATCTCTAAGATCGGCGATAAGTAACTTGTTTCTCCCACACCAAGTGTGTAAGAGGAGAGCCAATTAAGTTTCTAGCCCGACTGTAAGGTGATGATTTGTTCAAAACATGTTCATGTCTTTAAACATTGTCACCCTCAGTAGCAATGCACTTCTTCCATCGTCCCTTAAGCATTTATCTCTATGTCTGTCTTAAACCACTCTTTCGGCAGCTCTTCAAAATACCTTCCTTTTCGCGCGGCATCGGATTGTTGTCTCGAAATCTCTTCCCATGAAGATGCTCCCCGAGGTTTCCAAACAAGTAAAGTCACTGGGAACCAGGTGTGGTGAATATGGCAGGTGCGGCATTGTTCGAATTCAGCGTCACGGAGCACCAACCGTGAGACATTGGCTGTGAGAGCTGGTGCATAGTCATGCAAAACGTGGACCCCTTTCATCAACTCTCCTCGCTTCTTGATTCGAGCAATCTCCTCAGTAATGCAGCATAGTACCGATCATTGCTCGTATTATTAGGGGGTACATAGTCAACGTGAATGACTCCCATTGTGTTCCAGAAGATTTTCGCCATCACTTTGCCTGCCGAGGCAAGAGTTCGAAATTTCCACGGTGGGGGAAAGTCCTTTTGTCCCCATTATATTGGCTGCTACTTGGATTGTGAGTCCCAGAGGTCCAGCTCGGTTTCATCACCGGTAACTAACCACGAAGTCCGCTAGCTAGGCATTGACCCGATCCAAATTCTGTCGACTCATCATGACCCTGTCACCAGGCCGAATGACGGACAACATTTGGAGAACCCACCGGGCACTGACCTTTGATAGTCTCAGCTACACTCAAAATGGTTAGAACAATACCCTTTAACTCATTCACATCCAATGACGCACCAGTTCGTCATTTTACGCGAATTGGTAAATATGCTCCAAGCTTATACAATTTCCCTCGTGCTTGATTCGCCTGTCCTCCAACACAAGCTTTCTCTCTCGCTATCCCCCCCCCCAAGGTTCACCCGGGTAGAGGTCACCTTCGATTAAATCCCATCCTCGCTAGAATTAGGTTGCATAATTCTTTAGTCTGGTGTATATAGGAAGGCGAAAAATGATCCACATTCACGTTCAGCTGGCGTCAATGAATGTAATGCAGCAACAGGCTTTCCTTTGACAAAAACTCGGTCACATCTGCGCTAAAAAAAAAATTATATATATTAAAATTCAATCCTACAATAAAACAACGAAGTGTTACCCTTATATCGACTTTGTTACAGCCTCTAAATTTACAGGGGGGTAGTGAAGTAGTGACACTATTAGCCTAGACTGCACGTATTGAAAAAAAAAAATAAGTTAGTCAGACTGAGAACTTATTGGATACCTCTCGCAGTGTAGGACACCCTCCAGGTGGACGATACGTTACGTGGGGTAAGAACACGAAAAGTAATTATTTCAACGTTATTATCTTTCCAGATCACTCTGTAATGCGAAGGCCAGTCTATTACGTCTAACTAGATATGCGTAGACTTGCTTCACTTTGTGACTCATACGACTCTACCACATACCACATGAGGAAGCTAGGGGAGACTTTCCCATAATTCCTCTGCTCTAATGAAGGGGAGTAGCTTTTCCTGCAACGGTAGAAGCAGAGTGAAACTTAGTAATATGTCAAACGAAGGTAGACGCTGACTAGCGCTTCGGAAAATTTCCCATGCTTTGAACAGGAGAAATCCTCAATAAGCCTAATGACGTACAGAATTACCACTAATGGAAGTTGAAGTGTGGCCATATTACATATATGTGAGCTTCTTCAGAGAAATGTTCCATTACGAAAGCACGT